TGCTAAGTGATAATACAGTCCAGATGTAGTTCCACAGAATATACAGAATAGAATTAATACTTAGTTGTCAGGTATGAGCAGATACAGGTTGTATGATTCTGCCTCTACCTATTGAGAGCACTAATAATTTGAGTTATTATACATTCAATTTATGTCAAATATATATGACAATTTTTATGAAGGATTTGTTTTGTTTAAATTTAAGCTAACATATTACTGGTTTGAGTAATTTGATAGAATTGGAAAAATACTGTTTGAAAAAATATAAACTGGTAAATTGTAACAGAATTGCAAGCGGTTTGAAAGTAAATATGACCAGGAAACAAAGCACAGTTTAAAATATTATTAGTAATTACCTTCTACATTACTACTTGGAATCACTGTTCACACATTGTTCATACATCTGACATCCTTAGAATTCTACTGTATCTCTGCTGAATTTCTGGAAAACAAATGTAGTGATACTTGTTTAATTTCATTAAGAGAACTGCTACTTTTTGATACCTATTGTTCAAACTGGAGCTGGACTGACATTGGTGTTATCCACAAAATCCTTCCCCTTCGTAAGGATTTCACAGGAAGAGATCTGTGGTGGGGCACTGAGGACCCAGATAAACTATATTGTATCCAAGTGTGTCTCTGCAACTGTCCTCACCAATGGCATATAGGAAAGGGGATTTGCGTGACTTCTACATCTCAGGCCTGGGCTTATATACTCTCTGTTTCTCTCCCTATCAACTAGAACACAACGTGCCTAGGACCCATCTTTGGAGAACAACTTCTTCCAAGATAGCGGAGCAGTAAGATGTAAGGTACGTGGACCTCCAATGATCTTTTGGAACTGCTGTACTGATCTTCACCACTGACTTGGGACTTAGTTTAAATGATAGATAAAAGCCTATGTTCTGTAAACCACTGTATCATTGGGTCATTGTTAAAGTAGATTAGCCTTTCCATTAACCAATATATGTGTATGTTATACTGGAGTTATCGGTTGTTATGAAGAAAATATTAAGTTATATGAACCCAGGAATGGGATTCACATTTTTTTGTTTGTTTAAAAGCAATCTCATTTGGCTAACATTTTTTGAGATGTCTTTTAGCAACAGAATTGGCACATATGACTTATTTTTAACATTTTGTAATAACTGGATTTGGACCTATAGGGGAAAAGTAACACTATATTTCAAGATGCTGAAGATATGCAACAGTTAAAATACATTTTAAGTGATCACCATGGTTACTATATGTCCTCAACATTTTGCAGCACAGAAAAAAAAAACATTATTAGTAAAGGCACTCTGAATGGAATGAAATTAAAGATATTCGTGATATTGCAAGTCTGTTTCAAACTTCAAACATTTCCAATAAAGATATTTGAAATATCAAGAAAAAGCATTTGGATAAAAGATCCATTTGTTTTTCAAAATCCTGAATCCACATTTGGATTAGAGTTGATGCTCAAAGAAGAAATGTTTTGTTATTCAAATACATTGAAGAATGATGATAAATTTATCACCATTTTAGATTGATTAAAGAATCTGCTGAAATTTGTAATTTTAGTTACTAAGTAGAGTGTATTGTTATTAATAGCATACACAGCAACTTATTTGTGTGAACCAGAATTTTTAAACAAAATAACTGAGAAAGGTGGGAAGGAATAGACATCAAAGCACAAAGCACCTGGATTTGTGCATGTAGCATTATCCTCATGTCTCCAGCCTGGAATAAACTTAAGAACAGGCAAACATGCCTACAACAATGAATCAAATTCCATTTAAAAGTAACTCTAGGGATCCCTGGGTGGTGCAGCGGTTTGGCGCCTGCCTTTGGCCCAGGGCGCGATCCTGGAGACCCGGGATCGAATCCCACATCGGGCTCCCGGTGCATGGAGCCTGCTTCTCCCTCTGCCTGTGTCTCTGCCTCTCTCTCTCTTTCTCTCTCTCTCTGTGACTATCATAAATAAATAAAAATTTTAAAAAAAAGTAACTCTATACTGTGTAACAGTAAGTATTGTTTTATAAATAAAAATTTTGTTGCAGGGGCCCTGCTGGCTCAGTTGGTAAAAAATGTACTCTTGAGGTGATCCCTGGGTGGCGCAGTGGTTTGGCACCGGTCTTTGGCCCAGGGCGTGATCCTGGAGACCCGGGATCGAGTCCCACGTCGGGCTCCCGGTGCATGGAACCTGCTTCTCCCTCTGCCTGTGTCTCTGCCTCTCTCTCTCTCTCTCTCTCTCTCTGTGACTGTCATAAATAAATTTTAAAAAAATTTAAAATGTACTCTTGATATCCTGGTTATGAGTTCCAGCCCCACTGTTGGGCATGGGGATTACTCCAAAAAATCTTTTGTTTCAGTTTTTTAATCTACCAATATATGTATTTCTGGGTACACTGGGTAGTGATGTAAATGGTATTTACCGAGTCAATGTTTTAAAAAAGTGTTTTGACTATTCTGCTCTTAATCTCCTTCATAGCTAACATTTTGAGTGGGTTGTTTAAACATGTATCTCTACCTGCTCTTAATCTACTGCAACCAGGCTCTGCCTTCATTATCTTCAAACTCCATTTGATCTGTTTGCCATTGTGAAAGGAAAAATGTTTATTTTCCTATGTGTTCATGTGTGTTTTTAAAAACTTGTATGTACATCCGCATCAAATATTTAAATAATAAAACTGGGATCGGTGCCTGGATGTATGCAGTAGCATTTTACAACTTTCTACTTCACTCAACTAAGTAGTAGCAACAACTCTTTATGTCATTCAATATTCCTATCCTACATTATTCTTAAAGGCTATGTAGTATGCTGCTTTATGGATACATATGTCATGGGTTATTTGTCCATTTTTCTACTGTTGGACATATAATTTTTAATTTTTTAAAAATTATTGAACAGCACATTGAAATCCTTATAGAAAAATTTTTACCCACTTCTACAATCACTTGCTTAGGATGAATTCCTAAAAGCAGGATTGCTGAATTGTAGCCATATCTATGCTGTATAAACATCCAGAAACCCTCCAGAATTACCCTTCCACCAACACCCACAATGTGAGAAGGTCCAGTTGGCCAGCCAGCTCTTAGCCAATTTGATTGATTTTTTTAAAAATCCCATTTTATGTTTGTGCTCTTTTGATAAGTAGGTGGTTGAACATTTCTCATAGGTCATAAATTATTTGTATTTCTTTGTGGATTGACTTCATAATCATTGTCCTTTTTTTTAGTGTGCAAATGCATCTGTTGTTTAATACTCTGTAAAAGCTTTTTTACAAGGCTATTTAAATTTTATATCTCTGAAATTAGTATTTTCTAGTTTGTAGCATAAATTTGTTTTTAATCATAAAGTAATAATAAATACTCTTTAAAAGAGTAAGGGGACCCCCAACTTCCTCCCTGGCATCCTGCTCTTCCCATTCCATCCACTGCCTTCTGCAACCTTTGCCAAACCCCAGGCTTCAATCAATAACTCTCAAGACCTGGAGGCTTTCAAATCCTCATTTTTATCACACAACACTGTTCTGGGTCCCTGCCCATAAGTGAAACACCCTGTGGGTATCTCATTGTGATTTTCCACCTGAATATGTTCAAAACTGAACATGTATCCTCCTCAGATTCCAAACTGTCCCCTTCTCGTTAACTTGGAAGATGGGGCCACCGTCTCCCAAAGGAGGAACCATCCCAGATGCTAACCATCCTCCTGCTCGGACTCCTTAAATACCTCTTGCTATATTTCCCTCCATTCCTTTCCACCTACTGTTGGTTTAACTCATTTCTAGATTACTGAAGAATCTTTTTACTGTTTTCCCAGCTGCCAGTTACTCCCTTGCATTTTTTTTTTCGCTATCACTCCAGTGACGTTTCTAAAGAAAAACGAATATGCTTCAAAACCCTCCTTAGCTCCTAGTCAGGGAAACAACAGGGAAACAATGAGATGCCAAATGAGATTCCTGATTTCCTTCTCCCTCTTTGCTTCAACGACCACCCCAGGGACGCCGAGTTCCCGGCGCACAGCGCGCTCTCGGGACCTGAGGCCCGGCTGAGGCTGCCTTCCTCCCCCATCGGGCCACCCCCCGAGGGTCTCCCAAGTTCAGCCTGAGGGTTCTTCGTTGGGGAAGTTCTTCCTGTCCGCCCTCGCACCCCCACCAGACTTAGGTAGCTGCGTGGGGCCCTGCGCGCCCTTCCCTTTCTTTCCCCAGAGGATAACGATGTAGGGCAAGAGAGGAAGGAAAGGGGGGGGGAGCGGTCCAAGAGAGATTTTTTTTTTAAAGGGGTTTGGATTCAGGAGTGTGTTTCCAGGCTAACTCTTGGAGGCGTGGGAAGTAACTTGGCCTCCCCGGGCCTGGCTGCCTCGCGTGCACAGTGGGGCTGGTAGCCGCCGCCCCCGGCCTCCTCCGCGACCGTGCGGGGCGCGGGGGGCAGAGGCACGGTTTGCGCGCCCGCAGCACCCGAGCCCGTCACCGACAGCGGCCGCGAAGGGCGGGCGGCCGAAGAGTGCGCGCAGGACAGCCCCGTGCCCCGAAGCTAGGGCGCCGCGCGCCGCGCAGGGGGCTCCGCGAACCCGGCGGCGCCCCCACCCCGGGCGCACGCGATCGCGGGTCGCGGAACCGACCGGGTGGGGAACCGGGTGGGAATCCGGGTGGGGCGGGGAAGCGGCTAGGCCGCGCCCCGCCGACGCCCGGCCGGCGGGCCAGCCCCGGGCATCCGCTGCCACCTGCCCGCGCAGCCTCGAGGCCCGGCGGCCTGCGGCGGCGGCGGGTCGCGGCCGCGGCCTCCGCCCCCGGCTCCAGCGCTCCGCGGCGCGCGCCCAGCGCACCTGACCCCGGCGGGCGGGGCGGCGGGCGGGGCGGGGCGGCGGGGCTGACGTGGCCCGCGGCATGGAGCGGGCGTGATTCATCAGCCGCCGCGCGGGGCCGCGGGGGGGACGAGCGCAGCGGCCGCCTGGGCGCCGGGGGCCAGGCGGTGGCGGCGGCGACAGCGGCGGTGGCAGCGGCGGCGTCCCCGGCCGGGCCTCGCGCGCGCCTCTCGCTGTCGGTGGCCGAGCCCCTGCGGAGGGCAAGATGGAAGAGATCCTGAGGAAGCTGCAGAAGGAGGCGTCCGGGAGCAAGTACAAAGCCATCAAGGAGAGCTGCACCTGGGCCCTGGGTAAGCGCGGGGCGCGGGGCGCGGGGCGCGGGCACCTGCCTGCGGTCGGGCCCCGGGGCCCTGGTGGCCGCCGCCGGAGGGCCGCGCGGGCGGGGGCTGAGCCGGCCCCGATGCGGGGGGCCGCGGCCGAGCTTCTGCCGTGGCGCCTTCCGCGCGATTGCGAGAGTTGCCCCGGCCAGTTGATGTGGGGTATGGGAATTTGGGATCGGGCGTTCACCTCCGTCCGCCTCCCCCCTGGCCTCTGCCTTCTCCCAGACCGTAACGGGGACCGCCGTCCTCCTAGGCAGGAGGCCCCTTTTCCCAGAGCCCCAGCCAGGCGGACGACGGTCACCCATCTCCGAGTTAGGACCACAGCCGGTGCGGATCCAGGGGCCCGATTCCAAGCGCCTGTGGCGAAAAGGGAAGTTGAACCATCCTCCCGGATCTCGAAACGTTGGCGCCTGTGACGAGGAAGGAATGGCTTCTTTAATTTGATTTTCCGGATAGAGGCCAGCTTGTTAAGTATTAGCTCCCGTGGTGATTGTACAGGAGACATCACGTACGGGTGGGATTGCGTTACCTCTGCAATTCTGCTGTGGTGTGCCCTTCAGACAGGTGGGATTTTACATTTGTGAGCTGTGCAAGTATTGAAATAAGTTCCAGGTGGCACATTTGTGTTCCCCACCAGACTCAGGTTTGCAGAACTCCACCTACAAGAAGACTGAAAGACATTCATTCCAATTTGGCACGGATTTGAGCGATCAGAATGGTCTGAATGGGAATGCAGAGGGACCAGGAGCATACTTGGGGTGATCAAAACAAGGAAAGGTGGAGGAGAAACCAAGACAGCTCTATGTCCCCCCCCCCTCCGCCCGCCGCCCTGGCCCAAGCCTGCTTGCCATTCCTCAGTTGCCATTCAATTACAAAATAAAATTAAATCTCTTTCTCTCATAATCAGAAAGCAATCAGTGCTTGTTATGACACTGCTGTGCTACAACCTGAGAAAGCAATGTGCCATTTGCAGGTTTTTTTACTGTATGTAGAATCCGATGGTGTTTCAGGTGACTCTGTTAATATGTAGAAGATCAGAATTCACATATATTGGGTGTCTGTGTACAGACAATCCTAGCAACATCAATTTTCTTTGACATCTGCATATCATCACGAAATTTTCTGCCATATTTTCTAGGAAGTTTATCTTGTAGGCGGAACTTGACCATTGTTTACCATTACAGGAATCTGGACCAGATATAAATGAGCAACTAGGTTCTTAAAGCCACAGTATTGTTTTTGCATTGCCATTGTCATTCAGCAGACTGATTCAGAGCTAGATTCCTAAATGCCTCTAATGAAGAGTCACAGATGGCTGAATAACATAATAAAGCAGGGCCTGACTACGCTTTAAACATACCATCCCTGTGTTCATTATTATTTTGCTCTAAGTTACGCAGATTGAGATAACAGAGAGGAGACCAGTAATGGAGTATTTTTCATGTTTAAATTTTGGTACTTACATCTTGTTAAGTTAAACCACAGTGTGGCTGAGGTGAGATCCTGGAAGCTACATGGGAAGCCCAGAAGTGAGGAAGGTATCTGAGTGGAGCCTGGAATCCGACCTGACCCCAGAGAGTGGATGTGATTTTTGCCCCAGTGACTTGTTTTTCTGTACTTACCAAGGGGAGACAAAGTGCGTGAAATAGTTAAATAACAGTGCTTGACACTCATTGTGCAGGTTGGACTGAATAAATCAGGAAAACAGATCAATGAAGAGGGCATAAGTATGTGGTCAGGGGTGGGTTGGGGAGGAAATTGGTGTGAGTTGGTGAAGCTTTTAAAGTAGATTTGTCTTCAGGAATGGGTAAGCTGTGAATTCTTTCTCTTCTTCACTTATTTATTTAGCGCACATTTATGACGGCCTCCCTTATACTGAGCATGGGGATATAAGGATAAGTATGATGCTTCCTCCCTAGAAGGAATTTGTTAGAAGGGCATGTGGAGAGAGAAGCCAGCGGGAGCAAAGGCTATATAGTTTCCTACTCTGTTTTCCACTCCAGTTCATTTTCTACCATTTCATCTTTTTTTTTTTTAACTTTGAAACACTTCCTCCTCCTCAATCTCCATTATTTCTCTCTAGATTAAAGTGTAAATTCCTTAAAACACTCTTCACAATCTAACCCCAGGTCTTGTTTCTTATTGCCCTTCCCCCAGGGGTCCCATAAACTATAGTAAGCTGAAGCTTCCACAAACACACTGCACTGCACACTCTGCTACCTTTACTTGTGCTGCGAAGTCCCTTTCCAGACTCCTGAGGCCCAACTCACATAGGAAGCATTCCCTGAGCTCTTCAGTCGAATCCATTCCTCCCCTAGGTTCAGAAACCTGCCCTCATGACTATCTTAGAGCACCTGCTACTTTGGAGTATTTGGGCATAGTTATTCTTCTGGGGGCAGGATAATTGGGAAATATTGTATTTGGGAGACCAAACCGCCCACCTCCCCAGAACAACAACCCCTAATTTAATTTAATTTAAGCTGACCAGCAAAACAGAATTTATTCATTCTATTAACTAAATATCCCTTGTAAGGCTAGCTATGGGTTGAGTTTGGCTCAGAAATTATATACTGATCAAGGACCTTGCTCTGCATGAGTCTCCATAGCTTTAGGCTTGTGAATTATCACATTTAGACCACCTCATGAGAAAGAAGCATCAGCACACTTCAACCATCTGAGGGGAAAGGGATCATCTCTAACTGAAACCATCGTGGAAGGGAAGAGTCATTTCCACTGACCTAGTCCGTTGGAAGAGAAAGGTGTTATCTCCCATTTGGACCATCATAGGGGAGAGGGATTACCATGACATTTAGCCCATCACAGGAGAGAGGAGTTATCTCCTACTGAAACCATCATAGGAGGTCATTGCTATATGTAGGCCATCACAGAAGGGGGCATCTCCCACTTGACCCATCATCAGCTCATCTCAAGAGTGTGGAGCTCTTCCAGTCACTCCTGTCCAGTCTTTGGTTTCACTTGTTCTCTCTTGGTCCTGATGGGTCATGTGTATACCTGAACGAGTCCTCTAGCTAAGGAATAGAATGGACCCACTGGCTTAGATCTAGGCTACAAGGCTTCCTGAAATCCCTGACTCAGAAAAGGAAGGTTTCCTCAAAACAAATTTAAGATTCTGTTTCAGAAGGCTAGTCAACCAAAACAACAAGTATCGACAGTATAGACTCATGCTTCTTGAATGTAGGGACTGTCGCTTATGCTTTATTGTGGCTTCTGTATTTGTAAGAAAAGAAGCAGATGTTCAGTAAACAGATTAGCCTCTTAATGACTTGTTTGGGTTTTAAGATATATTCATCTTTTTTTTCTATTATAAAACTTATATCTGCTCATTTTAGAATACTGAAAAATATTTGGACAGTATAAAGAAAAAAACTAATGTTACCTGTAATCTCAATACCCAGAGAGAATGCTGATCACATTTTAGAGTATTTCCCTTCTGCAAAGGGTTATAGTTTCAATGGCAGAGTGTCATTTGTTTTTGTTTTTAGCTTTAGCATTTTCTTCTATGTTGTCATTGATACTTCTCTGAAAATTGGTTTTCTTAGTGGCCGCATAATTGGCAAAGAATGTATATATGTGTCTTCCCTCTATTTTGAACAATCTGGGTTGTTAGATATTTTTCTTGCCAGTGAGAAAATGGTCTGACTAGGGAATAGAAAGAATAAGGGAAGGGGTCAGCTTGAGGAAAGTAGAGACAAGAGCATTTTTCTTCAAGAAGTGGTGATCCCAGACCCACGTGAGCTGGGATGGGCCAGATGACATAGAATGTCGGAACATTAGAACGTCAAGGGACCGTGTCTTCATTTTAGAAACTTTTGGTGTCTTACATATATCAGGGACTTGTGTAAAATGGATTTGGAAAATGGAAGAGAGGAGAAAGAAAACTAGAGGCTGGAATGCCAGGTTGGGAAGGAAGAATAGTCCGTCCACCACCATCCTTCCCTCTACTTTCCCATCTGCTTTTCCTTCCAGCCAGTTTCTGTTATGTTCACACCAGGCTTCTTAAAATGTGTCTATGGTGATTGTGCCCATAGCCTCATCGTCTACTCATTCTTCAACTCACTGCCATCTGACTTCCTCCTCCATCATGCCACCAACCGTGGCTAAAGAATAAGGCACTGGACTAGACCCCAGTCCAGCAGGGCATTCTCAGCCAGGTGGAACATACCGGGTGTCTATCTTACCCTGGCCTCCAGGACCACAATTTTTATCATGCCTCCTAAGGGGTTCTGTCTCCTTTCTCCAGCACTTCTCCCTAGCCTAAATATTTGAGCTTCTCAGGAGTTAGCCCTGAGCCCTCTTCTCTTATTCTCAACCCTACTGGAGTTGACCACATCCATATCCACAGCTTCAGTTCAGTTTCTGAGAATGTGATGCCCACATGGACATCACTAGTCTGCAGCTGGGCTCGACACCCAAAGCCCGGGGCAGACACCTTCTCAGCATCTCTCCTTGAACAGGACAGGCTCATTACAGCTGCTCTGTGATTGTCCTGTGTTCTTTTTATTTCCTCTGCCTCTTGGTTAGCATTTGTAGGGTTGGGCTCTATTGAACATCCCGAGTTGAATATAAACCCCTCTGTCTGATGAAGAAAACTACAGTGATTTGGTCATTATAGTGTCAACACCTCCCCCTGGACAATAGCATCAAATTGTTGTGGGCACTGGCCCCTGCCCTGCTAGCTATGTTGATCTGAGTGGCCTTTGATCTGCTTCCTGCACGTGCATCTCAGAGCTTTCCCTTCTTGATGTCCTGTCTTGTCCTAACAGTTGACCTCAGTTCTTCCACTGCCACCCTTAGCCTTGTTGGCCACAGCATCCCTGACCCTACTGAGCCCATCTTTCTGTTTTGTGGATTGTCTTGCTTGCACCCGCTCTTTGCCCCATTGCCCCACAACAGGCTGAGATCCTATCATCAAGTTTTGGACTGTTCTTACCCTTGAGTCTCAGGGATACATATGGTGTCCATTTTTCCTTCTGATCTTTTAGCAGACAGGGAGAAATATTTCTTTTCCAATGAAAATGGTTTGCATTGACAGGTCTAGTTGACTCTAAGCAAGGAAGATGGCGTTAACACAGTTTGAGCTGAAAAAATTGGGAACAAATTGGAGCTTGTGATACTGGGATTTCTAATGAAAAATATAGACTTGGTCTTTTTCCTTGTTTCTGGCTCAGAGCCCCTAAAATCCTTGAATTTCCTAGGTGAAGAGAACCATAAAGTGTTGTTATATAAATGAGGCAACTTAAGGATGGGGACCAGTCGCTGGGAGGACCAACCCTGTGCTTAGAGAGTTGGAATTTTCAATCAGACCCCAGACCTCCCCAGAAAGAAGAAGGGATGGAGATTGAGTTCAGTCTCCAGTGGCTGATGATTTAATTAATCGTTCTTACATAATGAAGGCTCCATAAAAACCACAAAAAGGACTGGGTTCAGAGAGCTTCTGGGTTAATAAACACATGGAAATTTGGGGAGAATGGCACCCTCAGAGACATGGAAGCTCCTCTTCGCCTTTTCCATTTCCATACCTTGGCACGTGCCTCTCTTCCATCTGGCCGTTCTGGAGTTTTGTCCTCTTGTAATAAACCAGTAATGTAGTAAGTGAAATGTTTCTCTGAGTTCTGCAAACTGTTCTAGCAAATTAACTGAAACCCAAAGAGGGGATCATTAGAACCTTCAGCCTGAGCCTTTTACTAGTGGGATCTGACCCCATCTCCTAGTAGATATTGTCAGAATTGAGTTAAATTGTAGAATGGCTTAGCTGGTGTCAGAGAATTGCTTGTTCATGTAGGGACGCCTCACCCAACCACACATGCTGGAATTCCCTGCAGAACTGTTAGCACTATTGAAATAGAACAGCTTTTGAGGGGGGGAGAGAATAGTGTTTCATTATCTCTACAATTGGAGGCAGCAGTAGTTTGAATAATCCACAACAATGGGAAAGTATTGAATATCCAGGTTAGGTTAATGAGATTTAAAGGTGAGCTTCCTTACTGTAGGATTTTTTTTTTTAAGTTAAAAATCTACCATGTCAGAAATGTGTGTGATAATAATGAGATGTTGCATAAAGTGCCTTGTGAACATCAAGTGTCTCACAATTATAAATTATTATTTAAGGGTATTGAAACAGTATTTTCGAGGATATAGCTTTCTTTTCTGTATTTATTATTTTTTAATTGAAGTTTAGTTGATATACAATACTATATTAATTTCAGGTGTACAATTTAGTGTTTTGGCTATTATATACACTACAAGATACTCACAAAAAGTGTAGTTACCATCTGTCACCATGCAAAGTTATTAAAATATTATTGATGATATTCCCTATGCTATACTTTTCATCCTGTGACTTATTTATTTTATAACTGGAAGTTTGTACCTCTTCATCTCCTTCATCTATTTCGTCCATCTCATGCACCCCTCCCCTCTGGTAATCATCAGTTTATTCTCCGTGCATATTCATGAGTCTATTTTTGTTTTTTGTTTATCCATTTGTTTTATTTACATTCCACATATAAGTGAAATTATATGATATTTGTCTTTATCTGCCTAATTTTACTTAATATAGTACCCTCTAGGTCTATCTACCCTCTCACAGATGATGAGATTTCATTCTGTTTATGGATGAGTAAAATTCCATTATATATATATTATAGCCCATCTTCTTTATCCACTCATTTATTGAGGGACACTTAGGTTGCTTTCATATCTTGGCTATTGTATATAATGCTGTGATAAACATAGGGTTGCACATATCTTTCATTTTCTGTGGGCAAATACCTGGTAGGAGTAGAATTACTGAATGGTATGGTAGTACTGTTTTTGATTTTTTGAGGACCCTCCATACCATTTTCTACAGTGGCCGCACCAAGGTACATTTCCACCAACAGCTCATGAGAATTCTCTTTTCTCACATCCTTACCAGCACTTATCTTTTTGATTTTAGCCATTCTGACAGGTATCAGGTAATATCTCATAGTGGTTTTGATTTGCATTTCCCTGATGATGAGTGAGGTCAAGCATCTTCTCATGTGTCTGTTGGCCATCTGTATGTCGTCTCTGGAAAAATGCCTATTCAGGTCCTCTGTTCATTTTTTAATTGAATTATTTGTCTGGTTGAGGTTTTTTTAAAAATTTTTTTGGTGTTGAGTTATATGAGTTCTTTATATATTTTAGATATAATCCCTTTATTAGATATGATTTGAAAATATTTTGTCTCATTCAGTAGATTGCCTTTTGTTTTTGTTGATGGTGTCCTGTGCTCTGCAAAGGTTTTTAGTTTGGTGTAGTCCTAAGAGTTTATTTTTGCTTTTGTTTCCCAAATCTTCTCTCTATTGTTATAGTAAGAATATAGCATTTTAGACAGTTGTAGCTAAATTATATTGGCATTCTGGTTCAGGTGAGAAGTTTAGCTATTCAATCTGTGTTTCTATAGGGAAATGTATCCTAATTTTTAACTCCTCCAAGGAAGTCTTTGGAGTCATGAAGGGGAAGGATTTTTAAGTACGAATGACTTGCATGCAGATAATTGAGAATTGACCAGTTTATAATTATAGGGATTTCCAGGGGAAAAAAAGAAACTAACAAGGAAATTTATCTGCAGATTCCCAGTCTATACATTATTTATTTTTAACTTTGTAATTTTCCTTCTGCAGAAACCCTGGGTGGTGTGGATACCATTGTCAAGATCCCTCCCCACTTGCTGAGGTAAGGAGACTGGAGTTATATAATGTAGTGGAAGTAAAAACCACCGTGTTTTCCTGAAGGCCCAGATAACCTCATTGGCTTATAGCATTTTACTTGCTGACCAATGGCTTTTTTATATCTAGGAACAGGATGGGAACCTGACTGCAGTGATTCCCAGGTATCTGTGGAATAAATGAAGTCAGTAACCCAAAGGAAGCAGTTGAAGAAGTAGATGAAAGATAAAACTGGTCAAGGAGAGAAATTACCAAAACCTGAGTGAGAATGTAGATAGTAGACAAGATCTTCCACGCAGACTGGGAGATGGTGCCCCTGCTGGGAAGAAGCAGTCCTACACCCTAGTGGGGGTAGGGGGTTAGATTTAAACTCTCATTGGCCCCTTGGCTGGATTCTATAGCCACATAAAACAGGCTGGAGATAATGAACCAGTTTCTCTACCTTGCTCACCCTTCCCCACCTTCCTTTATCATGAGACAAGTGCCCTGTGTGGGACATTTGGGAAGAACAAAGCTGTGGATTCTTTCTCTTCTTCACTTATTTATTTAGCACATATTTATGATGGCCTCCCTTATACTGAGCATGGGGGCATAAGGATGAGTATGATGCTTCCTCCCTAGAAGGAATGTGTTAGAAAGGCATGTGAAGGGAGAAGCCAGTGGGAGCAAAGGCTATACAGTTTCCTACTCTGTTTTCCACTTCAGTTCATTTTCTACCGTTTCATCATTTTTTTTTTTTTTTACTGTGAAACACTTCCTCCTGTGCCCATAATCACACCACCTAAGGATAACCACTAAAAACAGTTTAACAAATTTTCTTAACAGACTTTTTCTCCTACATATACATACTTTACAAATTAGTATGAATTTTATTTATGTTTGTTTCCTGCTTGTTTTTTCAGTCCACATCATATGAAGAACGTTTTCTTACATCAATATATGTTCCTCAAGTTAAAATATTGTATATTCTTCCACTATATGGTGCTGTAATGTTTATTTAGTAATATTATTAAACATTTGGATGATTCCCAATTTTTTGACATTATTAAAAATATTGAACTTACAGTCTTTTGTTGAGTATAGTTCTATACTATCAGGACATTATGATTTATTAGATGTTTTCCATCTCTACAAGGAGAATGAACAAGAATCCTGTGTTTTTTAAAAAAAATTATTGCTTCTCCTGTAGTATCTGCTACAAGCTGATATGTTGTAAGGAAATACATGTGTTAATCAAACCAAAGTACGTTTCTGTGTATAAAGCTAAATGGACAGAATGCCTGGCAACCATACTCTTGCCCAGAGGAGCGGTGTTCCAGCTGGGGTATGCATGCACACAGGAGAACATGGAGACTCTCCAAGACATGTGAAGGCATAGATGGTTTAAGGGAGATATTTCCTGGTCCCTGTTGTCTATAGGTACTCTTTCTGAAAACTGATTTTGCCACATCTCCTTTTCTGTGTTATCTGTTATAGTCCCTCTTCTCTTTGACCAAGGAAAGCACCACTATTAACCCATCCCATTCTGAATCTTACTGTGATGTGTTGTCCTGGAGTGCAAAAATCTTTTCCCACCAACAAAGGACTATGAAAATACTAGTGTTTGTGTTGGTAAAGGGGACGAATGTAATGACCAGACCACACATTTTTTTGTAAGTTAGTTTTTACTTCTTGGCTTTCAAAAAAATTGAAGGAAGACCTAATCTTTTATAAGGTAATAGACAAAAAGATAATAAGGAATACTTCATCCATGGGTATGTGAAGTAACTGAAGAGAAAAATAAATTACTTAAATTTTAAAAATAAAAAATATTTAAAAAATAAAGTAAAATTATACTTTCCAGGTTAATTATATTAACATTCTTATAAATAATACTTAATACTATTTGGATCAGTTGGGTCCATTAATAATTACACCTCAAAGTACAAGAAAATTTAACACTTTAAAGCCTTTTGGCCACCGGAAATTTTTTAAAAATTACTTTATACACGTTTTGTTACACGGAAATATAGTAGGAGAGTAATAAAGGCCTCTTAAGAGTTAAAATATATTATATTGAGAGAAAATAAAGTTGGCCAAATAGAATGGAATAACAAATTCAAGGTGAAAAGAGAAAAATGTAGCATCTTTTACTATTAAAGAAGAGTGTGCTCATATACTTTTCTGATGGATGAAGGTGGTTTTCAAATTGGTGGGATATTCAGATTTCATTAGGTACATTTAAATAAGTGATATGTTTTAATTAAAAATTGTAATATGTCCAGTATGCCAGAATCATAGCCTTTTCCATTAATTAAAATTATGACAAAGAAATGTAAATGTCAGTTTAAAATACGTGAAAAACAGAACTTTAAATTTTTTTAAGTGGCTGGTTGAGAAAAAAAGTTTGGTAACAACACTTTAAAGGCTAGTTCCTAATCCAGAGGGTTGTTGAACCTGACGGCTGGGCTTTTTGTGATTCTGGATCTGTGATAAGAGTTCTGCCTATAGTGTTAAGGGTGAGAAAGTGGCAGTGATACGAGAGGAGCCTCGTGGCCTACTAGTTAAGCACATTCATCAAAGGACAACTGATATTTTTCAACCCTTGATGTATGTACGTCCGAGGATGTCATGGGACACAGATGAGGTAGAGAAAATGCAGTGTTAATGGGACCTAAACATGGTTGGTCCTCATTTAGCCATGGCATTTAGCTTTACTTTCCTCCATGGCTTCGAGATTCACCCAGAGCCCAGTTGCCATCTTGTACAATCCATAGAAGGTGGCGGGGGGGAGGGGGGCGATGTCACCAAATATGTGGCAAGGATGCTGGATCAGGAGCTGTGGATGAATATATATTGGTGTCTTTTCATATCTTTACTACCGTTAGCAGATAATTTGGAGTGTTTATCCTAATAAAGAGCTGGTGATGTCATCCTCATGTATGTGTATTGTGTTCTCCGTATGCATTGAGGTTAATCAAACATTTTTGTACGGAGAACTAAACCATATGCATGAGACAAAACAGATGTGAGCATTGCTCTCAAAGGTTTTATATTCACAGGGAGGAGAATAAACACATATGTAGCTGAAAAACAGTGTTTTGTGGTAGCAACTGTAAATTCATGGTAGAATTTTATACATAGAAGGATACTTCAATTTGACCATGATTCACAATAGTTGGGAGGCTTTTAAAGCCTCTTTTAGGGTAGAGGGATAAGCCATAATTAGAACAAAAAAAGAGCAATTGAATCAATATTTGTCTCATTTACTAGCTCCCTTTATCGTAAGGGAAGTGATATAATGAGATACGCTGTAATGGGCTTTTCTCTCTTTGTTGTGAAGTCAGTCTTCCTTTAATCCTTTGATTCTGCTGCCAGGCACTATTAAACCCAGACAGGACTTAACTCTGTGCAGGCATCATGTTTACCAGAGCATCCTTCTATTGAGTACCTGCTCAAAAAAAAAAAAAAAAAAATCTAGTCACTGTAAATATGTGTATCCAAGAAAGAATTTGGATATGTTAATTATTTTTCTTCGATTATATTTTAATTATTTTTCTTTGATTACACTTCTTTGTAGTATATGAGAAAGAAACCAGATTCATTAGCTATGGCTTGCAATCTCCTGATTTTGTATTCAGATTTGGTTTCCATTATTTACAGATATTTTGTTGTTTCGGAAAGGGCAATAGGGAAAAATACAAATCTCAAATACGGCTGTGCTGTTTTTCTTAATTTTTTCTTTTGCCACTGATCGATTGCTTTTTAGGTTAAATATATTAACGTTCTGATAAATAATTACTCATATTGTTTTGTTCAAATGTGTACATTAGTAATGATACCTCAGATCAGAAGAAAACCAAAGCCTTGAGAGACCTGTGGTTTCAATATCTTCTGTTTTTCGTTTATCTTTGATTGCTCCGTGGACTTCTTGTACAAACTGAAGTAGACCAGATGTCACAGGAGTGATTTTAGTCACTCTAGTGACTAGATTCAGTCATGTGTAGGGCACTATAGGGGAGAATCCCACGAGAAAACATTTTAGATGAAGATAAGGAGTGGTCAGAGGCATTGCCTATTCCATGCCAGGCTTGTAGTTAGCAAACGCCCACTCTCACGGTCGGTAAGTAAGCCGCTATAGCTGCAACTACAGGAATTCATGCAGAGTGCCAGTGAGATTTTGTGCCAGCCATGGAGGAAGGTCCATGGAACCTGTCCTGTGGAATATTTCTAGGGAATTCTGTGGAATTTGTTCATAGTTATGTGAATATCATTCTACCTTCTTGCCCTAAGTCTTGCTTTTGAACTTGGCAGTAAGTTTAAGAGTCGTAACCTTGGGCAGCCCCAGTGGCTCAGCGTTTAGCGCTGCCTTCAGCTCAGGGTGTGATCCTGGAGACCCGGATGAGTCCCACATCAGGCTCCCTGCATGGGGCCTGCCTCTCCCTCTGCCTGTGTCTCTGTCCCTCCCCTCCATGTCTCTCATGCATAAATAAATAAAATCTTAAAAAAAAAAAAAAAGCCCTAACCTTCCTCCATGATGAGCCTGTCCCTTCACTGTCTTTGTTCCTCTTTTCCTTCTTAAATTTAAGGCCTTCCATATCTACACAGGGTTGAAAACCTGTGAATTAGTGGGACATCATGGTGTTCTTAAACTCAAGAAGGAGGTCATTGATAGCTCAGGCTCTCCCTTTGATTGGGGTTACCATTTCCATATCCTACTTGTTTTACAAGCAGAAAGCAACTGAGGGTGCTGACCAAATCACGTTCGCATTAATAGTCCTTGACTTCATCATTGTTAGCTGTTGTTTTTTCAGCCAAGTAATAAATAAGACCTGGATGCTACTAATCAAGAAATATTATTAGTTAATAGCATGAAATGTTTTCTGTTCTCTGACATTTTTCTCCTTGAAACTAATAGAACCCTGTTAATTACACTGGAATTTTAAAAAATGTGGCACTAAAATATTATTTATCTTGCTGAGTTTCTTCATGCCCTCTAAAATTTTTTACCCAAGGCCAGTACCTCAC